GCCCTTTTGTCTTTTTGTTTTTACGAGAGTTTTTTAGTTTTGTTTTGTTTTTGCCATCGTGAGCATGCATTCATCAGAGAGACAGAGAGGGACAGAGAGCAACAGAAAGTGAGAAAAACACTCTCCTAAGGGGGAGATGGCCACACTACAATCCCTTCTCTTCCATTCTTTAGGGATCTTAGGCATGCATGCACACATACACGGCCTGAGTTTTTAACTCTCTGGATCTGGGACTCAAACCATTGTCGACTACATGGAAGTCCAGCAACATAACCTGGTCCCCACTTTTGTCTTATTAAAATCTGAACTGAGTGATTAGTGAAGTAAGGAAGAGAAATCATGTGACTACTCATATAAAAGATATTCAGTAGGTATAAAACAGTTACGAATTCTCTGAAGCAAGATTATAATTGACTTGTTTGAGGAATAGTAAAAGGGGATGTAGTTGGAAACGCTATTGACAAGAGAGTTGGGGAAGTCTTACCTGCAATCCCCAATAAGGACTGGATAGGACGCTATGAGAAGTCATTAGAAAATCTCAGTAAGGTCATAATCATGGACAACAAAACTGTGGCTTAATTTAAAAAAAGATTATTTGCAAAAAAGAAAAAAGAAAGAAAGGAAGAAACTGAACTATTTGGAAAGACATAAAACTATATTAAAAATGTCTACCCTTGGGACCAGCAGATGGCATACTGGTTACATTGCTGGACTCCCATATAGTTGACCACAGTTCAAGTCCCAGACTAAGTGGCTTAAAATTCACACTGGGTGTGTGTGCTTGCGTGCCCAAAATCCCAAGAGAAGGTTGGAGGAGGAGGGATTGCAGCATGGCCAATCCCCTGGGGGGTGATTCTCTGTCTCTGTCTCTGTCTCTCTGGTGTGTGCACATGCCCTATAGCAAAAATCTCTAAAAAACATTTTTATAAAAAAGCCCGCCCTATGTCTGCCAGGTAGCTTGCCTTCGCAACCTTCACAGATAGCCTGACAGCCTAGCTGTTGTGCCTCTTCCAAGAAGGCCGTGTGGGAACCAGCACTTTAGCCTCTGTGCCCCCTGCTAGCCCTTAGAGGTTCCCTTTTCATCCAGTGGTTTTAACATCCATTGATGGTGCTTGCCTGAATTGATTACAGAAACAGTGTCAACTCTTTTACTTTTTTTGTTCCTTTTATATATATCAAATGGACTCTTCAGTATCAAACCTGGGTCTTCCCGACACCCGGCTCACGCTCTGTCTGTTAATTAGCTAGCTGGCCAATGTGTAAACAGGAAGCTAGTTATCCGAAGCCGCTAGGAAACAAAAACATTTTAATTTCATTTATCATCTGGAGCTTGATTTTCTTTTATCTTGGCAAAAAACGGACCCTTCTGTCATTCTGAAAACTACTTGAAAAATGCCAAGACTGCAGGACCTACACGGCTATGATTTTCAGAGCTCACATGTAAAGGAGTAGATCCTGAAAGGGGAGAGAGTCCAGCTCGCTTTCTCTCCCTCAGCATCCTCTACGGTGTCCCATTTCTTTGGGACTAGTTTTTTTGCTTGCGTGTAG